TCGTGTCTTCTAAACACATTGAACATTTTTGCTTTGTCCTCAATGCTAGGTTTTTATTTAGGTTTTATTCAAGTAGAGTATTTACCTTGCCAGTCTCTAGATAGCTGTAGAAACTAAAGATTTTTGTTAGCTGAAACTTTTAGGAGTGTATACCTTATACTGCATAGCATCTTCATTTCCAGTCATACAGCACTTTAGCAGAGCTAGGATGGTCATGTGAGTGGCAGAAAGGAACGTTAAATTAACAGTTCAATATACTTTTCAACCAGGTTTTGCCACTGAAAACTTACTTTTAAAACGGCTTTTTTGTCATACATTTTATATTTCCTCTTAGGTATTATATTGATTGATATTGCTTCTTCAAGTTCTAAAAACACAGAATGTCTTTTTATCAGTTTGAGATAGTTTTTCTTACATTTTAATGGGCAGCTTTATCAGCTGTTGTAGCTTGTTAAGATGTGTGAGTAATTCAGTAGAGTGCAATACCTGAAATTTTATAATTACCTGGTTATGTTAGTGCAAACTGACCACCAGTCACAGTTTGATCAGGATTTTTCAGTCTGCATTATTTTATCTTGACATACTATAAAAATAGGCAACCTGTTTTTCTTTCAATGCAGATTTTAAAGCATTTTATGTCTTTTGAGACAGTCTTTCAATCTAGTTCAGTTTGCCCTGGAACTTACTACGTCATAGATTGTGTCCTTCCATTGCATTCCAAAGGGCTGGGTCACAAGTGTACAAGTTGGTGATGCTTGAGAAAATTAGGTATCTTCTACTAGTGAACATCAAAATAGCCCCCAAAGGTACCCCAAAGCAAAAGAGATGCTAGGTGTCATTTCAGCTAGTCCTGAGGATGTTCTTTAAACATTTATGGTATTTGAATTTTATCATATTGCTCTTTATAAACTATAGGATAGCAAATGCTGATAACTTCACAGTGAAGTTGAAAATAATCTGGTATAAATCCCAACTCTGTTAGATTAAAAAAAAAAAACCAAAACACCAGGCTTGAGCCAAAATAGTTATTATCTGTATATTTTTTTTTAACTACCATGAAGAAAATAAACTTGCAAATATATATAAATAGACATCTAGCGTTTGTGAAGCTTCTTTTATTCAACTTTGGCTATTCTGTGACTGCAGAGTAAAGGTTTCCATGTCGGAATGGTCACATTCTTTATCTGTTTGCATTTGAGAACTGTGCCTTCTTTAATTGAAAGCATTTTCTTTCCTTTTTTTTTTAAAGCTTGTCTTATTTTGTCATTTGCATTTATTTTTGAGACAGTGTCTTACTATGTAGACCAGGTGTGCCACCATGCCTGGTCCTACTCTAATCTTAAAGTGGCCACATTAGGAATGGTTAGAAATACCCACAGAAAGAAATGATAAGAACAAGAATGGAAATTTTTTTTTTCTCAGTGTTGTTTGAATTCTATTCTACAACACTTATTAGTTGGATGATGACCTTACATTCTCAGAATGGGAGTTGAATTATATAGTAGCCCCCTCTTCTGCTTGCTATGAAGTACCTCTAGCTGTCTTGAAACACCCTATTTGATCAGGGTTTCCTTGAACTCAAAAGAGACCCTCCTACTTCTGCCTTTTGAATGCTGGGATTAGAGACCCCACCACCTCACCCTGAAACCCCGTCATTTTAAGTGTGCTTTTCACTGGGATTCATTTTATTGACCATCTTCCTTTCTCATCCTCCTCTCCCCTTCCTTGTGTCTCCTAGTCTTCGTCTAGGTGCCTGTCTGGCCTTGGAGCCCAGGTTGCCCTCAAACCTGAGTCATTTTCCTCAACTTCCTAAACACTAAGATTATAGAAACAAGTCCAACAATACTCCGATTGCTGTTTAGATAACAAAAGGAAAATTGTAGAGTCCAACAGCTTATCCTGTATCGCTTACCCTGTATCAACCTTACAGTGTTGGTAGTTGGATGCAGTTACAGAGAATGAAGTAATTAGAATTAGTGAGAATGATTAGGTAATTTCTTTTGAATGAGTATTATTTCTAGGTAATATTCTAAAGAAGGTCAAATTTTGAAATATTTCTGTATGAATCATAATACTGTTACTGTCTGTGAGTAAAAGCAGGTTACAATCATATGCAAATGTTAATTGTGTGGTACCCTGGCCTTCTCATTGACTAGGCCCTTTACTTTTAAGTGATAACTTGATTATACTCTAGCCTCCTAAGTAGTCCTTTCAGGTCCAGAACTCAGTTTCTGAGTCACTCTCCACGAGTCACTACTGGATTTTCTCATCTGGATTTTGTTATTCATACCACTATTTCCTGAGTTTTGAATATTGGGGAAAATAAAGGCCACGTTGCAGAGACTCTTGAGTATTCTTTGGTACTGCTGCTTGGTCATTCTTAGGTTAGCTATAACTGTTTCTAGCCCCTCAATGCTACAATATATTGAAAAATACTAAATGACTAAAAAAAATACTAACTTCCCACAAGCCTACTACTCACAGCAAATAACCCTCAAACTTAAAATGTTTCTGGTTCTCTAGTTGATGACTATAGCCATCTTCCTGAGTTTCAAGAACAACACACACACACAAAAGTTAACTTACATCCTGTCATTTTTTTTTTTCCAATAGAGACCCTAGAAAGTTAATGTGTACCTTTAAAATATCTCAAGTCTCATTCAACCGTTTAGAAGTTATTTCCAGAGGTGCCTGATGATCGGATACATTATAGCTTATCTTGGCACTCTAAATATTTCCTGTGGACTTGGTAATGTTTAATCCCTTTTGCCCTTCCCTCATGTCTGTCTTCCCACTGTCTTTTTATGCAACACGTTGGGTGTTTATATCCTTTAAAAGAGGAATATAGAAAACAGAAAAAGTATCAATAGTTTAGTTTTTCAGTACCTGTTTACTCTTTTTGAGGGGTTTATGTAATTTTTTTCAAGAATGTATTCTGACATTGAATGTAAATACAAATGCCATTTTTTTTCCATTGGACAACAAACATTTCTCTTGCATATAGCTTTCATTGACAAGTTTTATAACACAGGTGAACTATGATTTGTTTCAAGACACATTTTCTTAATTTTACATACCAATACTCCATGAATATCTTTCCACACACAAAAAAAAATGTTTGTTGAAATTGGTTCTCTGTGTATAGTTTACAGCGTTTGTTATTCTACCAAACATTGCAATTAAAATAATGAACTTTAAAGATGGGTTTTAGACCATGCTTGTTTAGCAAGTGTGTAGTGTTGCTTTCTGTGGTCTCTCTCCACTGTTTTCTGCATTCTCCCCATTTAAGTGAACAATCTAACGGTATGAAATTAGGTATATATGGTACGTCTCCTCCCAGCTGCCAGTCCGCTGATAGAAAAGACGTAGGTCCCAAGTATGACTTTTTTTTTTTTTCTTTTTAACGAGAGCCTTTATTTTCTGACTGACCGAAATCCTCAAGATGAACTGGATGCTGCAACAGCTGCCCTCTTTGGTTTAGGTGTCGTTCCTTCACGGAATCCATGCTTGAATCTGCCATAGACAATTTGTAAGTGCCTCATCCGATCAGTAGTATTGGCACTCCAGTTTATATTTTCTCTTGCGCTTGGCACGGTAGCCACATTTGCCACAGGTCGTCTTCTAAATCTGAAGGTGGTAGTTCTTACAGCCACAGCGGCACAGTGTGTGCGTCTTATTGCGACGCTTTCCAAAGGATGACGTTCTTTCCCTCATCTTGCTTCTGCCGCCGCCGAGACCAAAGAGCAAGAGTGACCATTTTACTTATTTATGTATTTGAGTGCTTTGTCGTCACACTCACCAGAAGAGGGCGTCAGATCCCATTACAGGTGGTGGCTAGGAATTGAACTCAAGACCTCCAGGAAAAGTGGGCAGTGCTCTTAACCATTTAGCCATCTCTCCAGCACAAGTATGACGTTTTAAAAGCATGAAAATAATGAAATCTGGGTGTATTGAAGCAGGGTTGAGAGTTGGGGAGAAAATGGAGATGTATTCTCCAGTATTAGAACGAGGCATTCTGGGAAATAGCCAAAGGTAATTGTACCTTGTATAGCCCCGTTTGCCCCTTAATTTGCTAAGCAGCCCAGTCCAACCTTAACTCGCTGCCCTGCTCCCAATCTCCTGAGTATTACAGTCTATCCGCTGTGTTTGTCTCTGGTAGGAAAACAACCTAGTTCCTTGTGTGTACTCGGTAAGCACTCTTCATTTTCAGTTTTCTGGTTATTTGGGAGTTCGAATAATTTACCTCTGTTCCCTTTTGGTTAAGTGAGATGTGAGTGTGGTGTGCTGTTCCCGGTTGATAATGGTCTTTATAGTTACATAAAGTCTGGTGTATGCAGAAAGCAAGATAGGAACATTCTGTTCTCCAGATGCCGTCTAGGAAAACGTTCAGATTTGGAGCCTAGAATATCAGTTTCTTGGACTGGTGAGATGGCTCAGTGGTTAAGAGCATCATCTGCCCTTCCAAAGGGCCCGGGTTCAATTCCTAGCACCCACATGGCAGCTCACAACTGTCTGTAATGCCAATTCCAAGGGATATGACGCATTCACACTAATGCACATAAACTAAAACAAAATAATTTAAAAAAAATAATCAGTTTCTCAGATTCTGTTTGCCCACCAATGACTTTTATTGAGGGCAAAAACAGTAAATTATATCCATTTTGAGGAGCTGTTCAGCTAAGTACTATGGAGAAAAGGGAAGTGTTCGATTTAAAATGTCATCGCCAAGTGGGGCATGCAGTGCCCACGCCTACATTTGAAACCGGCAGGGAACACACGAGCCACAGTCTCAACCAAAACCAAAGGGAAAATGTAACTTGTAGGTAGACTGAGAGAACACCTTAGGTCGCAACTCACGCACAAGCCCTAGCCAAGGGAACAAGGACGGCAGCAGCTCCCAGCCCTCGCGGCCTGCGCGCGCCGCCGGAAGCGCCGTCCCTTCCCGGGTCTAGTGGCCAACGTCGCCGGGGCCGGAAATTGCGACACCGATGAGACCTCTAGGGCGGGGCCTAGGACGACCTGCTCAGTGGGCCGCGAGTTCTGGTCGGAAACAAAACAGCGGCAGCTGAGGCTGAAACCTAGGCTGCCAGCCGGCCGCCCGGGCGCGGAGGAGAGAAGGTGCGTGCCCGGGGTGTGCGGGGCGGACGGTGTCCCTGGCGGCAGCCTTCGCCGGCGCCTGCCCGAGGGCCGGGGCCTGCGTCCCTGCGGGCCGCGTAGCGGGCGCCCTCGGGGATGAGGGGCGGGGTCCGGCCGGGCGGACACCGGGGAGCCCCGCATGGGAAAACGGGGGCAGCCGGTTTGTCCGGCCCAGCCGCCGCCAGGCTGAGGGCGCCTCAGTCCGAGCTTCGGTCCCCGGAAGTGCAGGCTTTCCCGGGCGGCCCGGAGCAGGTGGCTGGCGTCGGGGGCGGCCTCCTGGACAGGAGTGGAGCAGGAGATAGAGGAAGCGCCCCAGGCTGGCTCTGCTTGAGCAACTGGTGAAACTCCGCGTCTCGTGCTCCGAGTGTATCATAGTCCAGAAGTGAGTGGCACTCGGGGCTAACTTCTCAGTGTCTATTGCCAGCCGGATGGCGCTTGTTCTTTAATCAGACCTGTCACGGTGCATGTGTGTCTGACGCTTGTGGGCGCCTTTAGCGCTTGCTTTTTCTTTTCACGTTTTCAAATGTGGCACTGCCATGAACAGAGGTTTGCTTCAGGCACATCCGTCTGGGAGGGGAGGCCGAGGTGCATAAGAGAATTGAGGTACCTTTTACTTAATTGGAGGAGAGGAGAGTTTCTGTAACAGCAACGTAGAAGAAACGTGGATAGGACAGGCGATCAGTTCAGCTAACGCGGAAGATTGACTGGGTTCAAGTTTGGAGAACGAGAGAGAAGTAAGGAAGTTAGGTTTGGAAATACCACTTTTGAAGTGTCAGCGAGTGAAGATGGCCTGAGGTCAGAGCTGTAAACTCTAAGGATAGGTCACTTAAGTAGACTTACTGTTCTGTGTTGGATCAGCGAACTGGGTGGACACTTAGGGAACTCACAAAGAGCCAGGTGGAAGGAGAGCGGGGAAGCAGCTGAGGAGAGTGAGTGTCAGAGAACCACAACAATGCAATGTCAAAAAACACAGGGAAGCTTCAGGGAGCAAAGCTTTGTCAGCGATTTGGAATGAAAGGCCTGGTGTTGTAGAAGGGACTGAAGATTTGGAACAGCATTGTACCATTGAAAGATGAATGTGAACACAAATACTAGTTTTACGTGTTCCCAGAGACACATTTTTAAAGACAACAAGAAGCAGTTGAAATTAGTTTTATTGATTTGTTAATCCAGTATAGCTAACAGTTTTATTTTAATAGGTAATCAGTGTCAAATTATCTTTCCAGCTCAAGAGTAGGCTCTTAAGGGAAGAAAAGCAATATATGATTCTGTAGTATCCCCAGCCCCTGTCAGTGTTTCGTTGTGTACAAGAAACCCGATACCTATTTGATGCTGGAAGAACTGGTGTTTGGTTTTTATAATGCCTTGTCCAGTTCCTCTTTTAAGTTGAGTAAAAGCGGAAGAATTTAAGCAAGTTAATTAAATGTAAATATTTATTTTTAATTAAAAAATCGTTATATTCTATCCATTTCTACAGAAGGTTGAGACAGTGACTCAGTTAAATTAACTTTATTACAGAATTATTAAAATAACTGTCTGGGAAAGAGTCTTTATAGATAGTTGCCAGGTATGGTGGCATGCATTTGAAGTCCCGGCTACTTGCAAGGCGGAGCAAGAAAATCAAAACCAGCCTTGATGACTGAGAGAGGGTGAGTGAATAATATGAGATTAGAAGATCCTAGTCCTAGTTGATGTGAACTTATTATAGTGTATTTATAGGCTGTGTAGGTAAATAGAACATATAAAGACTACATAGAGTATTATTGCATGGGTCCGGTTTGTGATTTGTGTTTACATGCGTGTACTTTATATGCAAAGCTACAGTCTTTGTCTGTATTTGTGGGTGCATGCATCCATGCATGCAAATGCAGAGGTCAGAGGAGGACACTGGGTGGTGTTCTCTACTTATTTTATCACTTTATTTAAAAAAATATGTTATTTTTTTGTGCAGGGTTAGGGGGATTCCATGGCGCATGTTCAGAAGTCTAAAGTTAGCTTTCTCTTTCCACCTTTTTGTTGGTACTGGGGATTGAACATAGGTCTGCAGGCGGATGGGGCAGTACCTTTACTGCCTGAGCCATCCCTGTTTTTTTTTAATTTAATTTTTTTTTTTGTCTTGTTCAGTTTTTTTGAAACAGGGTTTGTCAATGTAGCCCTGGCTTTCCTGGAACTCATTCTGTAGATCAGACTGGCCTCTAGCTCACAGAGATCTGTCACCACAGCCATCTTTAATTTTTAAAATATTGTGTGTGTGTGTGAGCATGTGTGCTCTGATACACAGGTGCCATAATATGAAGGATAATTTTGTGGAATCGTTCTTGTCTACCTTTGCGTGGGTTCTGGGGATTGAATTAAGGTTGTCAGGTGTGTGCTGCAAATGCTCTTCAGCATATACCTGGTTTGTAAGATAGGGTCTCTTTATTGGACCTGGAGCCATCTCAGCTGGTTGGGCTGGCCATCAGTCTCCTGGATCCTCTTGTCCCTACCCTTCAGTGTTGGGATTATAGGCACAATAGCTATGCCTGGTTTTGATGTGGTGCTGGGAATTTGAGCTCTGTTGCTTTTACTTTCACAGCAAGTGTTTTTTCCACTGAGCCATCATCTCCCTAGATCCTGCTGTCTTGACATACTTTGAGGCTGGTGGTCTGTTTCACTGTAGACCTAGATGTCTTTGGCTTTTGTGATTTGAAGGCTCTTTTAAGTACTCTTCAACATGTATGTTTACATCATGCTGCCTTTACAAAATCCAAAAGAAAGCCTATATTCTAAATAGATTTAATGCTGAAGGTTTGAAATAAGAAATTCAGAGCTGACCCTCCTTCATCCTCATTGCATCTTCTGAGCCAACCTCTCTTTGTCAAGGAGCAGCTATCAAAATGACAACTTGTTTTAAAACAAGTTGTAGAGAAAGTCCCCATAGCAGACCTCCTCCAAACCTACGAGCTTAGAGCACTGAAGTCTCACTCAGGGGTCTGCTTCAGGGTGCAAGTGTGTAGGTGGCTGGGACCATTTGGATTTGAGCGTCTTACTGTGGGGCTCAGGTTGAGGAGCAAAGACTACCAATCCTTGCTAGTGTCTTCTCCAGGCAGTGCCAGGAGCATCAGAAGGCAAGGGCAACTGTACAAACATAGTTCACTTATCTGCCACTGTCACTCTGCTGAGATCGCATTGACAGAGAGACATTTTAGGATCTCACCTAAAGACTGACAGTAGATAATGGATGTCATTAGAAAATAAGGCCAAAGACATCTCAGGGGATTGGTTTCGAGGACCACTAGATTTCCCAAATCCGAGGATGCTCTCGCCCTCATATAAAATGGTGTAGAATTTGGGGCTGAGAATGGAGTCATGTTCAGAGCGAGACCTTGCTTGATACCCCACCACTGAAGAAAAATCCAAACAAAAATGTATTTACTACTTACAAAGCCTTCTGTATACTTTCCTAATCCTCCTGTATACTTTAAATCGTCTCTTCATTATAATACCTGCTAATGTAAATGCTGTAGAAATAGTCATTACACTGTGTTGATTAAGAAAGAACAAAGAAAAGTATATGGCAAGTGTGTGTTCAGTCTAAAGTTAATTGAATCCAAGGATCCTGAACCAGAAGACATGAAGGCTAACCATTCCCAGAGGAATGAGAGAATATTTACTGAATAATAATTTTATCTACCACAGATGGTTCACAGAGGTGGAGTGGGATGGAAAAAGAAAAGAAAAAAAAAACAAAACAGCCCACAAACCCACCCTCAACAGATGCATCACCACTGTTGCTCCTTTTAGTTCTCTCACTTTCGAAAGATCTCTTGTAGGGTTGGGGAAACGATTTGCTTTTCATACCTTAAAAATCAAGAGTCTGTTTTGGATATTCCTAAGTCAAGTGATTTTTATTTCAGTTAGAGAATGCAGTTTATAGTTTGGTCACCTATTATTGAATTCAAGTCTTTAAAAACCCCAGTAGAACCAGGTTTGGTGGTACACGCTTTGTAATCCTAGCACTCAGGAGCTGGAAGCAAGAGGACCTCATGGTCAAGCATCTTGAGCAAGACCCTGTCTGAGTAAATACGTAAATGCCAGCCTACACCTTTAATCCCAGCACTCTGGGGGCAGAAGCAGGAGGGTCTCTGTGAGTTTGAGGTCAGCCTAATCTACATACCAAATTCCTGGCCAGCCAGGGCGACATAGTGAGACAGGTCTTGAACAAATAAACAAGGAAAAAGCTGAGGATGTGACTCAGTGGCGAACACTTGCCTAGCATATTTGCTTCCTACCAACCAAAATAAATAAATCAAAATTCACACTGTAGTCATAATTTGGGCTCTTTGTCAAGGAGCAGCTATCAAAATGACAGGTAGAAGATAGTTATGAATGGACGAAGTGTGTGGGTGTGGGGTGGTCTTGAAAAGGAACTAAAGCCTTGTGCCTGTTTGTGCAGCCTGCTGGTCAGCTGTGAGACCCTGGCCCAAACTTTCACGATAAAACTTTAGTTTTTGTTGTTGTTGTTTAATAGGCAACCTTGAAATCATGACTTAGAACAATCTCAAAAAGAGAGTAGGTATGAGGTAATAATAATAAAAAGATTGGATCTTGATAACCCTTAGGGTCAGAACATCACTTTATGAGGTAAAAGGGGCCACCTTACTGTGAATATGCCTCCCGCCTCATTGATATTCATCATAAAAATCTTTAAAATCTGTAGCTCAGACCAGAACCCACCATTTTGCTCTTTGTGCCTTTCCTGGTAGCCCACTCAGGTCTGTCTTTGAAATATATACTTAATAAATAAACTTTTGCTTGGACTCTGTGCCCCCGCATGTACGCATGCCTGTGTGTGTGTACGTGTGGGTGCGCTCTTGTATGTATGTAGGCTGATTTCACCTTCCCCCCTTTAGAGACCCCCACTTTAAGCCATGGCAACACCATCCACTTTTGTAGGAAAATAAACCAGGAACTCTTTGACTCTTGAAAACTTTTTATTTTTC